GCATATTGTCAACTAGCGGGTAACGGAATGAGTTCGAAGCAAGATGTCCCACATGCTATCTGTTACGGTGAGACCGACTCCGAAGAGGATGGGGATGTACTTATCGCATTCTCACAGCGGTGCAATACACTATCACACCGAGGTACTAAAAAGGATGATGTTCCCTTAAAAGAGGTAAAGATGGAAGAATTGAATGCTCGTATTTATAGAGCCAAAGGCCTAATGTACATTGATGTGAAGATCAATGGAAGACCAATCAGGGATATGGTAGAAATTGGTGCTACCCATAATTATCTCGCAAGTACCGAAGTGGAGTGACTCAGACTTGTTCTGGAGAAAGGTAATGTAAAAGTCAAAGCAATTAACTCCGTTGCTCAACCTATAGTTGGAGTAGCGAAATATGTGTTACTCAAACAGGGTCCTTTTAAGGGAAGGACAATCTTGTCTATAATTCAGATGGATGACTTCAAGCTTATTCTAGGATTGGAATTTCTTTGGGACACTAAGACAGCAGCGTTGTCATATTTCGATTCATTAATGATGATGGGTAGTAAACCGTGCATTATCACTACACAAGTTAGGAAAATTGGTGAGAAGAGTATCTCGGCCATACAATTTGGTAAGGGTGTAAAACGAAATGAACCCTCATTTTTGTGCACTCTTCGATTAGAGGAGATCAAAGAGGCGACTGGTCCTATTCCAAAACCTGTTGAAGGCTTATTAAGGAATTTAAGGACATCATGTCGGACGAGTTACCAAAGATACCACTAAGGAGGGCGATTGATAATGAGATTGAACTTATTTTAGGTGCCAAACCTCCTGCCAGGGCACCCTACCGTATGTCTCNTACTTTGATCGATATCCATAGTATGAGGGAGTAACGGTTTCTGGCCAGTAATAATAAAAAAGGACTCTTATTGTTGGAAGAACTCTTTTTGGCTTTGAAACACATCTGAGCCTCATCCAAAAATTTCACCTAATTTTTCTGTGATGTAGAGATAATGTGTCGAAGATATTTTTCCAGCATAGAATTGAACCACTCTGTTTGTCCATCAGGTTGTGGGTGAAAACTAGAATTCATGCTCAAAGTTGAACCAAAAAGTTTGAACAACTCGGTCCAAAATATGTCAGTAAATCGAGGACCTGATCACTGACAATGTCTTTAGGATCAGTAAAGACAATAACTTTAGGATCACTGACAATATGCCAGTAAAGATATTGTCAGTGATCAGGATCCTCGATTTACTGGCATATTTTGGATCGAGTTGTTCAAACTTCTTGTTTCAGCTTTGAGCATGAATTCTAGTTTTCACCCACAACCTGATGGACAGACAGAGTACTTCAATTCTATGCTGGAAAAATATCTTCGACACTTCATCTCTACTTCACAGAAAAATTGGGTAAAACTTTTGGATGCAGCTCAGATGTGTTTCAATGCCCAAAAGAGCTCTTCCACCAATAAGAGTCCTTTTGAGATTGCTACTTGCCAGCGACTGTTACTCCCTCATACTACGCATATCGATCAAAGTACCAAGTCCCCTCAAAGCAAAAAGCTTCTCTTAAGAGTGGAAACAAAATATTGAAATTCCTCGGAGTTATCTTGAGAAAGCTCAGAAACGGTACAAAAAGTCTGCAGATCTAAAGCGCCGTTTTCTTGAATTTAATGTTGAAGATTTGGTAATGGTTAAACTCCCTGATAGAAACTGTTATAAATCGACAAGAGGGAAATACTCAAGATTGGTGCCAAAATATATTGGATCATTACCCATCGTGAAGAGGATTGGAAAAGTCGCATATAGAGTTGCACTCCCTTCATGGTGCAAAATCCACAAGTCCTTCATGTTGGTGTACTCAATCCTTACCTTTCTGACAAGGAGGATGCATCTAGGAATGAGCCAAAGCGACCTGTGTTTGAACTGAACGGAGCTGGAAAGAAGGTTGTTGAAGAGATACTTGACTATCGAACTACTTGAGCTTCTAGAAAATATCATCAAGAGTACTTGGTCAAATGGAGCGGATGCAACAACGAGGAGAATACTTGGGAAAGAGAAAAAGACTTTGGAGCCTTCAAACCATTAATTGAAGCATATCATTCATTGATGGCTCCGAGGACGTCACTAAAACAAATGAGGGAGAATGTCAAGGATTCAGATTTACTTAAGCCCCTTAACCCAATCGCAGCTGCAGTTTGCCCAACTTCTACCGCACATTATAAATATTAGTTCAAGTTTGAGTTGTAATTTCCTTCCATTGTAATAGTTTATTTCAATTGTAAAATAGCTTTGATATTGGTAAACGTTTAGTATGATTCATTGTCATTTAAACATCTACTCTTATCACTTAGGTTTTTATTCTGTAAGCCATTATATGGTGTATTAGTCTTTCAAACAATCTTTCAAGTTTTCTGGTGTTCGCCTCCTACACCGGCCATTGTAATTCCATGCTTTCATCAATTGTAATTTCCTGCTTTCATCAATTAATGATCAATTTACTTTCAATGCATTTCAATTTTATGTTGCAAGCTTTCTACAAATTTTAATCAAATTTTCTTTTGTCCCGAAATGATCGGGAGAAGGCGGAAGGTAGTCTAGCGGAGTAGACTATTGCCGCATGGTGTCCCTTTCTGTGCCCAGAAGAAAGACACCCCGTGAAACATTGTCTTACTACTCTTAGCAAAGTACATTTGTTAAGATCACACTGGATTGTGTCGGCCACCAAAAATACCTTACACAACAATTTTCAAAAGCCAATATGCCCACATGTCAACAATTGTGACTTATAGAGATAGATTCGGGCGGTCCTTCGTTGATTGGTTGTGTAGACAGAGATATTAGGAACCATGAAAGGAATATACAAGCGGAACATAGTGATCACGATGCAAAATATCTAATCAAGCATTTTACATTTGAGAAAGAGAACCTCAAACATTTATTTTGATTTCGAGACTAAATTGGACAAGAAGTTGTTTCAATTTTTCTATGTTGATTCGGAGTCGAGAAGATCATATGCCTTTTTCGACGATGTCGTGGTATTCAACACAACCTACAACACCAATAGTTACTCGTTGATTTTCGCCCCTTTCGTTAGAGTATATTACCATGAACAGACCTGTGGATTATTGAGTGATAAAACTACCGAATCATTTGTTTGGTTATTTTCAAAGTTCCTTGAAGCAATGCCAAACCAATCGCCCCTGGTGCTTATTATTACGGATCAAGATTCTGCAATTTCGATAGCTATAACAATGGTACTGCCCTCGACATTGCACTAGTATTGTTTGTGTCACATACTTGACAAATTCTCTGAAAAGATCAATGCCATGCTGTATAACTAGTATCACAGATTGGTGAATATCATTAAACAATCTGAGATGCCCGAAGGGATGGGTAGGGAAATAGATGGAAAGTGGGTGGATGATAAAATAAAAAAAAGGGTGGCTGGGGTAATAAAGTAAAAGATAGGGTGGGAGGTTAAAGGAATATTCAAAAAGAAACATTTTGTAATGGCACGTCAGCGTGGGAAATCTTCTCCTGCCCACTGTGGCACGAGGAGATCAATTTTGTGTTATTTATACCAGTCTAAAGAATTTGATTGGATAACATTATAATTTCAAATCAAAGTCACATAACTACATATTCACTACTAATCTACACATTTCATGGGACCATCTATTCTTTTTTATTATTATCACATTATAATTTTATACAAACATGTATCCTTTCTTGATGATCCACCGTTAGCTAGCAAGATGATTTTCTGTGGCCATAACACCCTTGAACGTCCTTGTGTTTGTGGAGAAAATCCTGTACCCAACCAAGACAGACTAGAGAATGCGCGAATTCCTGCTACCTCTAGGTGGGAACGGAAAGCATTTCACATTACAAAAAGACTCGCGCAGGGTAACGAGCGGACAAAGTAGCAACCAAGAAGCGTTGAACCTGCACTATAGTCGAAAAGATAAAATCTGTTGCCAAGGTAGAATTTAAGAGAAATTATAATATGATACAAACACATTCTTAAAAGAAAGAAATTCCCCAAAAATATTTGCAGCAACTAGTCTGGAGACGAAGAGCGGTATCACTTGACATTTTTTAACCTCTTTTAGCGGATTTGTTCACTCAACTTACGCTTGATAGATTCAACATTGTGCTTATTCATCATGGTTCGCCATGTTCCTCTGTTCTTTTGGCTTGTTTGCTAATCCAACCGGCTTCGTAACTTTATTAGCTTTCTAGGTCACACAATTCTTCCTTGAAGATCAAGTTGTACCCTCTCTTCTAGCCAGCTCGTATTTAGTCCATGGGATGTGGTTGATTCGATTTTTATTAATGGAGGCACAAGCGAAGTGAAAATTTCATATTTATGGCGTATACAATTCAATGCATATGGAAAATCCATTTAACAGATAATACAAAATATAAAGCCCTTTCTGTCAAAACAAACTTAAAAAGTACAAAAGAAAAAATAGCCACAACCACATTTAAAAACAACATTTACTCCAATGAGCTTGATTTCTAACTTTAGCCAAACAAGCGCAATAAATAGAACTCAGTCACCTTCATTCAGCTGAACTAATAAGCCAGATTCTTCTAAGGAGATTCAATCTTCCCACAACAAACAGAGATGCAAAAACATAGTCCTCTATGCGAGGGTGAATAATCGTAATTATACATGGATATTTATGATAACATACGTCATTATTCAAACCAACAGAGCTGAAATAAATAATATTTCAGGAAACTTTGAAATCCTACCAAAAATCAATTTTAGCTGACTTCTATAGTTACAACCTGTATGCAACATAAACAAGACAAAATTGCTCTATGCTGATGAAAAACAATGAGTGCAGAGATATCGCGACCAACAAAGCAGTCATGATGGATCCCCTGCTCTCCATGTAAGACTTGTGGATGTTCGAAAAGTGTAAACGGATCCACCAGTTTAAATGAGAAAACGTTTGGCCACTTTAAGTATTCCCACACCGCAAACATTTGAATCAACTATAGAAATAATTTCTTCAGCCTGTCCAAAGACAGAGCTGCTCTCTTATTATTTGGCTCAAGAACAAGTGCATATCTGAAATCTGCACGCCCAGAAGAGAAGTCCAGATATCATGCGTGATTGTCATACATAAATTAGCCTAAATAAATCAGACGAGAATCTAGATATTTTTCCATTAAAAAGTAAAGAACAGTTAATCAAATCAAATCAAAATTATTATTTCTCGTGGCTTGGAACTGCAATATGACCCATGATCTTTCAGATTCTATAAGTTTCTAGTTGCTGGCAGACCATATCGAGTGATCTATATTTTTCCAGGAATTCTTATATGAATATATACGTATTGTAATTTAAACAGTAAAAAATGAGCATGGATAAAAATGGACTCACCTTCTATTGCTTCTTTATAGTATCCCAACATTTCCCGTGCTGTTCCCCTTCTTAAATGGGCCTTTACATTCTGCAAAGAATGCCTCGTGTGTCAATTCAGTCAAAAAAAAAAAAAGGAAAATTTGGTGGCAAGGAATAAGAATTTATAAGTTAGAGGGGTATATCAACTCAAAACAACTGTCTCACTAATTTAACTCAACGATCATCTCTCCAGAAAATATGCATCATTACAAGTGTACACAGACAGGATCCTGTTTCAGACTGACACGGGTAACTTCCAATGACAAATGACATTGCATGAATTTTCAATTATCTTTCCATGTCATCTCGCCGCCTACTTCTTTAGGTATTGAAATCACAGAAAATGACACCACCTAATTATACAGGACATCAATACATTTCCACAGTAAGATAATATTAGATTATATAGCTCTTTAGAAAAAAAAAATTTATCCCAAGGATAATTGTACTGCCACGTCCTTGCAGCATAAAAAATAATGGCATTTCAACAGCTAGAGAGAGGGAGAGAGAACCTTTTTATCAAGATCAATGGCTTTACTACAGTCTGCTTCAGCTTGGATGAAACTGGGTAAACAAGGGAAAATTGAGGTTATAAATAAAATCTCCAAGCAGATAAACAAGACAAGAATCGAGGTTTAAAAAATACGACTACCTTCCCAGTTCCAAATACGCTGCCGCTCTGTTACTATAATATGTTGCATTACTACTATTGAGTTTGATAGCTTCTGTATAAAAGCCAATGGCCTGCTGCCACTGCTTATCTTTGAATGCTTGGTTACCCTAGAAGGAATCCAACAAGATAAAATAGAGCTCACTAGAGAAAGAATACAAACTAAATACGAATATAACGGTTCTACTTTAAAATCATCACCATGTCAAACCTACAAAATTAAAAGAAAATAAAAAAGTTGAAGAGAGAACTAGATCCAGAGTGACAAGCAAGGATTGATGGATTATAGTCTCAGGAAAACTTAGCAGGGAACACTAAAAAAAAAGCTATGATCACAAATGATTAGGTAAGCATCCCCCAAAATATTATGCACACAAGAAGAAAGAATTACAAAATTTAGTGCTCCTTACAGATAAGGATCTTCCCTAGAACATAGCAACTAGTAATCTGGATAGTCCAGAATTCTCACACATATTTAGCTATTAAAGTTAATAGTTATTCGTTATTTGAGACAAGTATGTGAGTCAACTCTATAAGGTTTAATTGTTTGTAAAGGTATATAAAGAAAGAATTGCAGCGACTACAGTCGTTTGAACATTTCGAAAGGCATCCCAATTAAACTTTGCAATTATGTGACAGTCGAACGCAAGGTTTAATTAGTCTCTTAAGAATGTCAAAGACAAAATTGCTAGACAGGATTTTGTGACTGGAGGATAATAAAGTAAAACTGGCTCATTCATAACTTACAATAATGGCAATCACAACAGCAATCAATTCATCTTTATATACCTTATCTTTAGCCAACTCTGCCAATGCTTCCCGGGTAACAGCATTATTTGATGTTTTTGGTTTTGTGGCTGCATCGAGTTGCTCCTGGAGAGTTGCATATACAGTTTGCAGTGTATCCAGCAAAAATCTGTCACTTCCATGCCCGGCTAATAGGGATACAGAGATGGGACATTTGTCTTGGAATCCCAATGGTATTGCAACCTGTATGAGAAAAGAAATATTGAGACTTGAGAGTAAGGAAGAGTTGGGAATAAAAGTTCCCGTACGCAAGCCACAAGCCAACAATTTAACCTGACAGCAGCCCGACATGCTGGCTAAACTTGAAAGAGAAGATGTTTTGATCAGGTAGTCCTCCGATAGGATCTCCTTTGCACCCAGTTTTGGAGGAGGATCAGCAGAAGTAGGGATCACTAGAATCCCATCCTGTTTATAATATTTGTCCAAAGGCAGCAAGAATAAGTAAAATGCCGACATCAAATGAACATATGAAATATGGCGAACTTAGTCGCAGGATCTTAGAAATGATAACTACTGCTGCTGCTTTTTTTCTGGTAGGGTTGTCATTGCAGTTCATATTATTTGCATTCCAGTAATATTGAGTAATAAGAGGCTCTAATTATGACTGTGAGGTCGATTATTTTTATGATAGCTGTTGAATAAAGTATAAAGCCAAATTAAGAGAAAATGAAACTACAGACTCATAACAGATCACAACACATTTTAAGTGCATAGAGAGCTAATTAGTTGCCAATAAAAAGCAACCACGGTCATTGCAGATATCAATATTTTCAACTTGATACTAGTGCTACCCACTTGACCTAGCATTTACAAAAGGTCAGATTTCTTAAAAGGGCAGGCTTTTGAAGTAAATTATTATAATCAAAGTTCTAACAAATGAAACATTTCTAATAAAAATCCGAAATTACTTAAAACATGTAATGCAAAACAGGAAAATAGAACACAAAATATAAGGAGGTGAGATCCTAAAATTTTCGAAGAATGAATTCATCAACCAAACTGAGTAGTTATGATGCAACAAAGATAAAAACAAGTGATTTATGCTCAAGAAACCAAAAGAAAGCCCATTGTCACCAGAAAAATAATAAATAGGAAATAAACTCACTGCGTCTTCATTTCAGAGTTTGTTGGAAAAGTCATTAATCATTCAGAGATGAATTATTATATTCCAGAGGAAGTTAAGCAAGAAGTGGAGGGAAATTTAGACGCCAGCAATTGTAGCCACTATTGGCAACAAGCAAAGACAAGGAAAAGCGAATAAAAACATAAATAATACTTGTAAATATATAATACAAGATCACGACCAGAAATGCTGACCTTCCACACCATGCTTACTTGAGATATTATAAAACAATACCTTTAAAAGGGCATTCAGAGCTGAACGCAATTCACTCCTAACTGTGTGAATTTTTTCTAATTCTGTATTGGCCAACTTGAGCACTTCAGGTATTTGAGCTGTGATAGCAGGATCCAGAGAAGGCTTTACTGAGTTTATCCATTCACCATGATTTTGTTTGAATTCATACCTGTGATCAAATAGCATAATATCACTTTATTAAAATCCTGGAAGGTAACGATGATTCCAGTTATCTGCCCTATACTGTTACACATTTGCTGATGTACCAATTTAGAGAGGTCTCCTAGTTAATTTTGTTATTTCATGGGATCAACCAAGCTGCCAAAAGATGCATCATAATTTCACATAATCCAGTCATTGAGAAATGATACAAGACAGCCCTTGGCTTTCAAAAAGATAAGAGGTTATAAGATTTTTATGTAGAGGTGGTTGGATGGAGTAAAGTAGAAATGCTTTACTATTTGGACCTTACTCCTTCATTAAATATGATCTCGCGCTCACGTCTTTTAGAAAAGCTAGAACCTTTAATAGGGAATAAGTATACAAATAGTCTAGAAAAGCTAGAACCTTTAATAGGGGATTAAGTATACTTTTAGTCGTGTTTCTTTGTTTTTGTCGTCTCCTATTCTGGACAAGGGCAATGGTGGGAGCACCTTTTGTGTAAATGTCAACGACGAAAACTAGCATAAAGAAGGTATAATTATATTGTATTAGTTAAATCTCCAAATTATACTTTCCAAATAGAAAAGAGTCAGTTCTGAGATAAGAAATATAATTAAAAAAAAAACTGGAAATACAGAAAGTGACAGAGAGGATAAGGCGTGAGATCAATGGAAATCAAAATTATTTACAAGTTAAAATAATGTTAGTAAGCTCAATTTTAAAGAGAGAGGAAAAGAATATCGCTATGGACTGTGAAAAACATGAACAAAATTAACACTACAAGAAGCTGCAAATGGAGGACAAAATGCAATGTACAAAATACAGCAATATTTTTACCCAATAAAAACCTACACCGGTATCATTTTTGTCTGGACCTCACCAGAATGAGTTCCACTCTCCACAAAACTCTCGCCATTTCCCCATTTCCAGAACCACAACCTTCCTCTCCATCTCCTCTTCTGCTGTCTCCCCCACCTCCCTATTCTGTTGGGAGTTAGTTCGAAAATTTGAGATGTGGGGGCGATGTGGGAAGAAGATGGTGGCACTTTTCTGTTTCAGCGTGGCTATGGTGGTGACCATCCAGATACAGGTGGGGGTAAGACGGGTGCGGGGGGGGGGGGGGGGGGGNNNNCCAAATTTGTTGGAGTAAAGGGAGTATTTGAAAAATAAAGAATTTCCAAGTATAATAAATAGATTGGATCAAAATAATGGAAATCATTTACTTGGGACTACTCAGCAGGCTCACCGCTTAAGCATCTGCATGACATTTGCTAATGATCTTATGGAAGAAGATTTTACTTCACCATTTGGTTTCCCAACATTAAATGCATTTAAGCTTGGAACCTTTAAGTTTAGATAGTCACCAAGATTCTCATGCCTCAATACTTGCCCTGGAAAAGGTAATTCACATAAACAACCCAGAAAATTAATGATCCAAAACTAAATCATAGAAGGAATTTTAACACGGTATTCTTGAGAACAAATGAAGCAAGAGAACATACTTCCATAGAGCTTCTCCATGGATTTGACTACCACCTGAGTGATAGGAACTTTTGATAACTGAAAACAGTCATCAGCTACCACAATGTTCCTTGGATTACGTTGGGTAGCATATGGAACTTGCAACAGCACGTGGCCAACACGACGAAGTATACTTGGGTCCTTTGCAAACCATCCTGCAATACGTGGGTCTTAATAACAATAGGATAGATGCAGTAAATTGAAAGCTGGTATGATTATGGACATAAACTTTCATCGAGATATATAGGGTAACATAAATGAAAACTGAAAATAATAGTTGTTGAAAACTCAAATGAACATTTGCAAATGAGATAAAAAGAAAGGTAATGGGCACCTATAGAAAGTGACAATCAAAACCCAATGACCATTGCTTCTAGTTAAACTATGACCAGCATACCAGCAACGAGAAAATCAGTTTGTACAAGATTTGAGCCCCGTGGACTGAATAGTCACATCGATATCCATGCAAAAATGAATCATCTAATGATTCTGTGGAAACCAGTGGCCAGCTACCAGCAGCTAAAAAAAGTGAAAATCAAAACCAGATGGCCATAGCTTCTAGTTAAACTGACCAGCAAACTGATAGGGTTCTAACAGGAAAAACAAAGAACAGAATAGGTATAAGCAAAACTTTTATTGAATGTTGAAAATGATTTCTTTTTCTTTTTTTGATAGGTAATCACGCAATTTTATAAATAAAATCAAAAGATAATACACAAGGAGTGCATTATTAGTTTAAACAAGATAGAAACAATAAAAAATTCGACAACCCTTCTATCGGACTAATGGTTGCAGCCTTAAACCAACTATACAAAGTCAAATAAAACAATTCCCTAAATTGCTCTGTCGTCCGAATTTGGTCTTC